GCAACTTCTGGAAGAACCTCTGGGATCAGTTCGGAACCAGGCTGCTGTTCAGTTCGTCGTACCACCCTGAGACCGACGGTCAAACGGAGCGGACAAATCAGACGATGGAGCAGTAGATTCGTGCCAAATGCGACGACCCCACAACTTGGGAGTAGCAGCTGCCGCTGATCGAGTTTGCGTACAACAACGCCACTTAAGCGACGACGCAGCAGTCCCCCTTCTACCTGAACTACGGGCAAAATCCTACAGTGCCCATGACGCCGAGTCCGGACAACCCAACACCACGCGCACAGCAATTCGCCGAAATTCTGCAAGCTGCCCGCACCAGAGCTGCAGAAGCAATTATAAAAGCAAACGTCATTGCTAAGCGCAACGCTGACCACCACCGCCGCCCAATCACATACCAGTCACGGGATTACGTACTGCTCGACACGCAAAATCTGCGAGTGCCCGACGTACCAAAACTTCGACCGCGCTACTGTGGCCCATTCCAAATCAGCCATATGATCACGTCAGTAACCGCGCACCTACTATTACCGACCGACTGGTACATCAGCCCTTCGTTCCACGTCAGCTTGCTTCGCCCATACATCCCTGTCATAATATAATGCTCTAGCCTGTAGTGGGGTGCTCTATAGCGAGTACAACCCTTCTAGGGTTTGCTATTTGTATCCTCACTCTTGCTAGTGCAACCCTCTTCTTTCTTTTAAACTTTAACATGCTATCAGAGCAGGTCGATCCCCTTGGATCGATCCTGTGGGTGGGCTCACCACCTCGTTGCTTCCGCTGCAACTTCCACTGCTACTCTCTGTGCCGCACGCCCCGTGGCGTGCGGCAGTTTTTTCTTCCCGCCGTGCGCCCCGAGGCGCGCGGCGGTTTTCTGCCCGCCGTGCGCCCCGTGGCGCGCGGCGGTTCTCTGCCCGTTGTGCGCCCCGCGGCGCGCGGCGGGCTTCTGCCCCGTCACTCGGCGCGTCGCCCTCGGGAGGCGCTGCGACGGGCGACGGGGACCCGCGCGTCGCCCCCCGTCGCCCGTCGTGGCCTGCGCGCGGCCCGTACGGGCTGCGCCAGGCCCGCGCGCGGCTGGGGCCGCCTGCGCGCGGTTCGGGCGGCTGTGCCAGGCCCGTGGGCGGCCCGTTCCTCGCTGCCCCTGCCCTCCCCGCTGTCCCCCGTGCTTCTACTGGCGCCCCACCCCTCCTACAGCCCGTTCCCCTGAATTAGGGTTTGGGGGTGAGGGGTATGGGGGTGAAGCCACTGTGTGCCGTTCCCTGCTCCTCCTCCTCCTCCGTCTCCCTGTGCTGCAGTTGCCGCTGAGGGGGGGTGGACTTGTTGGAGCCATTGGAGTGGTACTAAGGGGGGTTGAAGGGGGAGTGGAGCTAGCGGTGTAGCAGCGGGTGTGTGTCAGGGGGAGTGGGATAGTTTGGGGAGGTTGAAGGGGGTGGCCGCCGTGAAGCCAGCAGCTCTAGTCGCCCGTGAGACCGTTGCGCCAGTCGCCCGTGAGCCCGTTGCGACAGTCGCCCGTGAGCCCGTTGCTCCAGTCGCCCGTGAGTCCGTTGCTCGTCTGCCGCTACTTTTAGCCGCGGAGCCAATTACTCCAGTAGCCCGTGTGCCAGTTGCTCCAGTTGCCAGTGTGCCAGTTGCTCCAGTTGCCCGTGTGCCAGTTGCTCCAGTTGCGCCGTGTGCCAGCAGCTTCAGCTGCCGCCCACTACCTCCTCTCCTCTCATAGTCTCTTTCCTCCTCTTCACTTGCCCGTTGTGACTACTACTAGCTTTGCTCATAATTGTGAACTTTAAACTATTGCTTCTTGAACTTGTGCTCAGAATGTGTGGTGACATTGTGATCCACCCTGTGCTTGTACTGCTTTGCTTGCTCTGCTGATTACACCCCACTTTGGCTATGGGGGTGTGTCAGAATATTATGCTCTAGCCTGTAGTGGGGTGCTCTATAGCGAGTACAACCCTTCTAGGGTTTGCTATTTGTATCCTCACTCTTGCTAGTGCAACCCTCTTATTTCTTTTAAACTTTAACAATCCCAACCACAACCCAACTGCTTCGCCACCGCCCACCATCCATGACTCGCCCTGCATCAGAGCCGATCATCAAACCCGAAAAAAATATGAGTCATCGGATTCGCCACCCCACGGGAATCAGGAGGATTGAATTCCTCGTTCGCTGGAAGGACCGCACGCCAACTGAAGATAGCTGGGTGCCCCTGGCCAACATTGAAATGTCAGAATATTATCTTATTGTTCTAGCCTGTAGTGGGGTGCTCTATAGCGAGTACAACCCTTCTAGGGTTTGCTATTTGTATCCTCATTCTTGCTAGTTCAATCCTCTTTCTTCTTCAAACTTTGTCATGAAAATCACCCTGCCCTGCAAGTGTACCCGAGGAGCCCGGGATTCCGCGATATTTATGCACTCGCGTAGCGGAGGGGGCTTCTTGAGGAGGGGGGGGGGGGGGGGTAATGTAAGGAATTTTCTCGACATTCCTTATGGAGCCCGACTACATCGCGTACAGCAACAGCCGTTGTTCGCCCGTTACTGCTAACGGGACTTCGCCAACTTCGCGCGCACTGCTTTGCCAAACCTCGCACTGCTGGCCTGGCCGTGTCGGCCTACGCTTCGGGACTAGCCCGAGCCTCGCTGCCAGCATAGCACTAGCTAGCTCGCACGCACCGCGTTACCGTTTGCATGTTTCGCGTATAAATGTTCGCTCATGCCTTCGCTCACATCTTTGTACTCGTTTGACACCTTAGTGCAATTCTCGCTACTTCGATTCATTGCACCCGTAACATTCTCCCTTTTTTACGGATTACAAGTCTTCATTTCGATGTTTTACTGTGTGTGATTGTAAACGCTGGTATTATAAACGGAATTGCGCATTCTGTGGGTGTAGACGTGGACAATCAGTTTCCTTTTGCTGAGTCAAACCTGACTTGTACGGTGTACAATTTGGTTGGAACGCGAAGTTACCATCCAGGATTTCCGGACGCACTGTTCATTACCATTCAGGCAATAATGTTGACCATCTCGGCAATGCTGGTTACCATGGTGGCGATGAGAAGACATCTCTGTTACGTTTTGGACACGTGGCTTACCTTGCGTGCGATTGAGCTCCATGAGTGTTACCGCTAAGATAAATGCCCATATGTTTTAGATGTAAGCAGCCCAGAGGATGTAATACTGACATGGCAGTTTACCACTCGAATCTTGCAACATGAATCCCGCTGGAGCAGGTTGAGCTTTGCAACACGAAACCCGCCCCTTCGCCGTTGCAATAGCGAATCGTTATCTCACCTCTCAACCAATAGGTTCCACCGTCCGTCCCTAGAGGCTCATGTCGTGTCAGGGTCTCCTGGGGTCATCAGGGTCATCTCGTTGACGGGAGTCACTAGTCACGACGACTCACGATCACGACTACACACATAACTCCCTAGAACGTACGCGGTTCATTTCAGGTGTTTCCTTTCCATACTCCAGCCAGTTTCACCTTGCTGTTTCCGCACGCAAGGACCTGATCTATCTGCGGTCCCACCTTTCCTCCGAAGTCCGCGTTTGTGGTTGTCTCGCTAGAAGCAACTACGCATTCCGAGTATGTCGCTTGCCCTTTCCGTGTGCTCTGGGTTGCACTGCTTGCAACCAACCAACCAACCCCCGCGGAGTTTTGCAAATCATGGCGGTGTGTAGCTAGTGGCCGGGAACGGTCACATCTGCCGTCATATTTCATTTGTCGCAGCGACTCCCGTCCAGTCCTGTCGTCGGCCATTGCCGATTGTACGTGCACTGAAACTGAAACTGTGTACTGCGGTTGGAACTGCGACGTCTTGCTCTTACAATCACTAGAATATTTATTATGGTGAGCTGTTCAATGCATTGTTTCCGTTGGAGGCTCTAGTAGGATGAGGAGCGTACGGTCGCAACAGCCGCTCGGCAATGGCAGATTTCTGACGAGACGAAGCGTTCCTGTATTTTATCTCGAAACAGCCTTGTACCGCGCATAGACACTGCTACCAGCAGTCCTCCTTTCCGCGAAGATTCGGGCGGGAGTCCCTCTGTTGAGTATATCTTTTTCCAATGCAGCGACTGTTCGCAAAGTCTGACGCAGAAATAGGCTGCGAAGTCTAGAGATTAACCAGGCTAGGGAACAATCGGATTCTCTATCCGTAGGACTGCATAACGTCAGTTGCTTATTAAGCGCCAAACCGTCATTCGTTTTGTTACAATCACCCACCGAGTTCTTAGGTCAATGGGAAAACCAGTGGGTTCTTGCGCTAACCAGCAGAGCCATGCCGTTCGGTGGTTGTCAGTGCGATGGCTACCACGGTTACCACGAGACCTGTCGCGAATGTCGCTCCTAGTCTTCGTCCTCTTCGCATATGCGAGCACCAGTACAAGTAAGATTGTGCTCCTCTGATCAGTTTCTTCATGTTTTTTTCTCATGCTGGCTCCTGGGACTGCACCATTTGAATCTCCCTCTCCCTTTCTGATCAGTTACATTTGCCGTTTTGTCTGAGAATCCATGATTGACGCTCTGAGGCCCGTCTCGGTCTCTTTGCTCCAGGTTCCTTTACTTGAAATGGCTTCTTAATTTCAGAATGAATCGGTCGCTACCTTTCAGTGAAATTGGAGTGCACCACCCCCAGTTGTCAGATTCATTGATTCATTATTCACCCCTCGTGTCGTCCATTTCTTTCTTCCTATTGGACATGACCGCAGTCAACTGGCCGGTTCCAGAAGCAGCAACATCTTCTGCTGGAACTCATCCCCAAGGTCCTCGAATACTTAGCATTCCCACGGCCAACAGCAGCAGCAGCAGCAGCAATGACTACAGCGACAACAAGGTCAACAGCAGCAGTATCAGTGATCACCAAACCCCAGATATAAGCAGATGTAACGCCTCTAGGTTATCTATAAGCGGTCATCTAAGCAAGCAAGTCTCGCGTCTGCTGTGGGGGTTTCTGCAGAGCGCTCGAAAGCAGCAGCTGTCGCATTCAGCCACAGGGATGAAAGGATCACGAGTAGAGGGTATGGAGAAGGATAAAAAGGATAGGAGGGAGGAGGATAAGGAGGGGGTTAAGGGAGATAAAGGGGAGGAGGATAAGGAGGGGAGAGAAGGGCGACGAGGAACGGAGCAGGTATGGCTTGGAAGGGATGGGAAAGCTTTCGCGGATTTGCAGTTTTCAAACCTTGAGTTGCTGCTACCGTCAGCAAGAGCAGCGGGTATTTACTTTGTGCGCCGACCAGAGGGGTCGGAAGCAGGGGAGGACGAGGGGGGAGAAGCGGGGGAGGACGTGGGGGGAGAAGCGGGGGAGGACGCGGGGGGAGAAGCGGGAGAGGACGCGGAGCAGCACGAAGAGGAGGAGAGGGAAAGGAAAGAGGAGAGGGAGGATGATGAGGCGTGGTCGCAGTTGCGGCATGAGGCAGTTGCTCTAAGCGATCACACCTTTCAACATCATAAACGCCACAAGGGAAGCCAGCCATTCACCTCACCTCACTCACACCGTCCTATATCCCATTCTCCCCGGCGTCGGCTCATCATGAGCTGGCAGAAGGATGACGTGTCGTCTGAGGGTGACGCGGCACCCCCCTCACGGCGGCGCCAGCTCATCATGAGCTGGCTGAAGGACGCGTGGGTGCGCAGCGTGGCGTTCCGCCTGAACGGCGACCCCCGGGAGGACCGATTCCTGGTGGGCAGCCAGCAAGACCAGGGCTACCAGTGGCAGTGGACGGACGGGGTGGTGGGACCCAGCTGGAGAAGCCCCTTCGTGCGAAACCTCTCTTTGGATATGGATGTGAGTGCATGAGATGGCATGACAAGTGCATGGCATGGCATGACAAATTGACCCCTGAGGACCCCCGGGAGGACCGATTCCTGGTGGGCAGTCAGGCGGACCAGGGCTACCAGTGGCAGTGGACGGACGGGGTGGTGGGATCCAGCTGGAGAAGCCCCTTCGTGCGAAACCTCTCTTTGGATATGGATGTGAGTGCATGAGATGGCATGACAAGTGGATGGCATGGCATGACAAATTGACCCCTGAGGACCCCCGGGAGGACCGTTTCCTGGTGGGCAGTCAGGCGGACGGACCAGGGCTACCAGTGGCAGTGGACGGACGAGGTGGTGGGACCCAGCTGGAGAAGCCCCTTCGTGCGAAACCTCTCTTTGGATATGGATGTGAGTGCATGAGATGGCATGACAAGTGCATGGCATGGCATGACAAATTGACCCCTGAGGACCCCCGGGAGGACCGATTCCTGGTGGGCAGTCAGGCGGACCAGGGCTACCAGTGGCAGTGGACGGACGGGGTGGTGGGATCCAGCTGGAGAAGCCCCTTCGTGCGAAACCTCTCTTTGGATATGGATGTGAGTGCATGAGATGGCATGACAAGTGCATGGCATGGCATGACAAATTGACCCCTGAGGACCCCCGGGAGGACCGTTTCCTGGTGGGCAGTCAGGCGGACCAGGGCTACCAGTGGCAGTGGACGGACGAGGTGGTGGGACCCAGCTGGAGAAGCCCCTTCGTGCGAAACCTCTCTTTGGATATGGATGTGAGTGCATGAGATGGCATGACAAGTGCATGGCATGGCATGACAAATTGACCCCTGAGGACCCCCGGGAGGACCGATTCCTGGTGGGCAGTCAGGCGGACCAGGGCTACCAGTGGCAGTGGACGGACGGGGTGGTGGGATCCAGCTGGAGAAGCCCCTTCGTGCGAAACCTCTCTTTGGATATGGATGTGAGTGCATGAGATGGCATGACAAGTGCATGGCATGGCATGACAAATTGACCCCTGAGGACCCCCGGGAGGACCGTTTCCTGGTGGGCAGTCAGGAGGACCAGGGCTACCAGTGGCAGTGGACGGACGGGGTGGTGGGATCCAGCTGGAGAAGCCCCTTCGTGCGAAACCTGTCTTTGGATGTGGATTTGAGTTAATGCATGCGTGACATGACACTTTGATCCCTGAAATTAGACCTCCGGGAGGGCCGCTTCCTGGTGGGCAGCCAGGTGGACCAGGGCTACCAGTGGCAGTGGACGGATGGCAGCAGCTGGCTCTAGCCTTGTGTGCCAAGGTCCTTCCCCCCGAAGTGTTTGACGAGCCCACGGGAGTGCTCACCCCCACGCCTGTCGCTAGTGCCCCTCTTGACTCTCCTTCCTCCTCTCTTACCATCACCTCATCCTCCCATCCTCCCGTTCTCCTCTCCTCCCCCCTTCCCCAGGCTCTAGCCTCGTGTGCCAAGGTCCTTCCCCCTGAAGTGTTGGACGAGCCCACGGGAGTGCTCACCCCCACGCCAGTCACGGGCGGACACCTCACAGCACTCTCCTTCCTTCCCTCTTCAAATTCCCCCTTCTTCTCCCCCTGCCCCAGGCCCTAGGCTCGTGCGCCAAGGTGCTGCCCCCCGAAGTGTTTGACGAGCCCACGCCCATCCTCACCCCCACGCCAGTCACAGGCGAGCACCTCGCAACGCTCTCCTCGCCGCTCTTCGCCCCACAGCCCCTCCCTGCATATGCTAACGAGGGGGTACGAGGCAGAGAGGAGCAGGAGGGGCAGGAAGGGCAGGGAGGGCAGGGCGAGCAGGGAGAGCATTATCCGCAGCATCAGTCTTCAGCCGAAGCTGCTCTTGCTGCCGTAGCAGCATCCATGCATCCCCACTCTTCTCACTCTTCCTCCTCTTCCAGCGACGACCAACAACAGCAGGGCCAGCAGGACCAGCCGCAGCAGCAGCAGCAGGAGCGGTACTTAGTGTGGTTTCCCCGCTTCGGCTTAGGCAACTCCCTGCGCGGATTTTGCTCAGCATATGTGTATGCTCTCCTCTCAGGCCGCCGGTTGCTGCGGTGGCACGGAGGGAAGCACAGGGCCGTGCTAGATCATCTCTGCACCACGTTTGACTGCAGCGGCGTCGCCCCATTGGTCAATTTCACGGATGATATCCGCCACGTCAGCGAGCCCCTCGAGCTGCACGCGCCAAGACAAGAGTTTCTTTCTGCCCTGCACTCCGGGCTGCCCGTGGTGCATGTGAACACGGGCAGCTTTTTCGATAATTTCTGGCATAAGAACGGGCGGCTGGCCCCGTGTGTGCAGCGCGCGTTTCACTGCCATAACATCTGGTGTGTGAGGAGTCATGCCATTCATGCCTTGCTCGGGCATGGACCTGTGCCTGAGCTTCAAGAGGTGATAGAGGAGACTGTGAGGAGGAAAAGGTGGGGCGAGGGTGGTGGGAGTGAGGGTGGAGGAAGAGGAAAAGGGGGAATGAGAGAGAGTGAGGGCCGTAGGGGGAAGAGAAGGGGGGAGGACGGTGAAGGGGTTGGGAGGGGGGGTGAGGAGAGGATGCAGTTAGGAGGGGAGGAGGAGGGAGGGGTAGAAGAAGGGAGGTCCGTAGGGAAAGAGAGAGGCAAAGAGGGAGGGGCAGAGGGAGGGAGATGGGGTGGTGGTGGTGGGACAAGGCGCAGGCTGGTTGGGAGGAGAGTGGGGGTGGAGGAGGTCGGAACACCCCATTCGGGTCTTCTTGGTGGTGGCGGAGAGAAGGAGCAGAGCAATGCAGAGCAGAGAGAGGGAGGGGGTCTTGCAGGGAGAGAGCGTGGGAGCGGGGGGCCAGCAGCAGAAGCAGAAAGGGGGGGTGAGGATAAGGGTGAGGTGCATGGGAAGGATGAGGCGCAACGGATTGTGGGTAGAGAATCAGCCGCAGTGGTAATAGCAACAGCAGCAACAACAACAGCAGCAACAACAACAGCCACCGCAGCAACAGCAACAGCAGCTGTGGAAGTGGCAGCAGCAGGAGGTGCAGTAACAGATGCAAGCAGTAACAGACCTAGTACCCCAGCTCCTATCATCTCAGCACCTGGCAGCTCGGCACCTGGCAGAATAAGGCAGCTTGAGGAGTATGCTGCTGAGGGGAGTTATGCGGAGCAGGGAGGCGGGGCTGCAGCAGCCTCTTCTGTTGATAGCGAGTCAGCTTATGGAGAGGATGGTGGGGAGAGCGAGCAGGCGGGCGGTGCGAGAGTGAAGAAAGGCACTGGGCTGCGGCTGCAATTCGACGTGGCCATTCAGATCCGCACAGCCACCAAGTGAGTACTCGTGAAACAGCTCCTCATGCCCCTGCTCCTGCTCCCTTCCGTCCCCCCTCCCTTCCCTCCATCCTTCCCCGAAGTTCCCTCCTTCCTTCCTCTACCTGACCCTCCTGCCCTTCGTCCTCATTTTTTCCCCCCACGCTCCTCCCGGTATCAGCTTGGTGGAGCAACCTTCATGTCACAAGGCTCCCTCCTCTCTTTCTAACCTTCCGTCCCTTCTAATCATCTCGCCCTCCTTCCGTTCCACCATTCGTCCCCATCCCCTCCCTCCGACCACCAGCTTGGTGGAGCACCCCTCATGCCACGAGGCAGACAGGGAGTGTGAGCACGAGCAGCAGCAGCTGAGGGCAGCAGAAGCGGCACACATGCAGCAGTTTCTCACACCCGACAAGTGGGCCTGCATCACGCGCCTCCTCCTCTTCCTCCGCACCCGCAAGTCCGGCATCAAGCTGCCCAACCCCTCCAACAACAACCCCGATCCCTTGCTCTCCCTGCTGCAGTCCTTGGCTGGTCGGGCTAGTCAGGCTGGTCAGGGATTAGTGAAGGAAGAGGGTGGGCGAGGGTCGAAAAGAGCGCGCGGTGCTGGGGATCTTGGGGATGGGTTGGAGGGGATTGAGAGCGGTGCTTTGTCTTCTCTGAAGCCGCTTTCCGTCTTTTTGGCAACGGACAACGAGAACCTGCGGCCGCAGTTTGTGGATAAGATCGGGCCGGTGGCTGGGGATGTCTTTTTCTCCACTGGCGCTGTCACTCACACGTCAAAAAGCGGCACTGCAGCTGCTGCTGCTGCTGCTGCAGCAGCAACAGGAGGAGGTGGGCCAGCGGGAGCAGGAGGAAGAGGGGGATTGGAAGGTAGAGCAGAAGGGGAAGGAGAAGCAGAAGGTTTGGAACGTTTGGAGAGGCAGAAGGGAGTGCCTCAGGAGCATTTTCAGCAGCAGCCGTCCCCAACCATGGCTGAGTTTTTCCTGCTCAGTCGGGCCCGTGTGCTTGTGAGTTTTAATAAGTATGTCAGCACATTTGCCATGTTCGCTTCCATGCTCGGGAATGGGACGTTACTTGCGCTCCAGACAAGACCGCCGACGGCTAGTCCTGTAGGGGGTTGCCACTTTCAAGTGGAACACCTGGCTGGGGATGGAGGTGGCAAGACTGCAACATCTGGACGATGATAGCTGGACTTTCCATTGTCCTTGTACAAACATAATGCACTTATTCAATTGTGCATCAGGTTTATAGAAGGAGAAAGAGATTATCAATGTTGATTCATTCTTAGAAAGCGGTTTTCGTTAGATTTCATTTCTTAGTGCCTAAATCGCGTACCACGCTACCGAGGGTCAGTGATACCCTGTCACAAGCAGACCATAGAGGCGCGCATCGCATTCAAAATCTTCAGCGCTTCGGAAAGTGACACGCGCAAACATGGCGATCCGTGACTCAATCGAGAATTGCGCAAGACCGCTCCGCTGTTGGTTTCCGTGCACAGAGATTGATTGGGGTGTGCTCTTTTCGCCTCGCCTCGACTCCCCCCGTCCCCACCTCCCCACCTCCCTCTCACCTCTCTTCTCTCCACGCATCTACTCGGCATCGTCGCTCAAATCGACCTTTTATCAGCTCTCCTCACCTCACCCCCCTAGTCAACCTCGTTAGTATCTCGGCGCACAAAAGCAAGGGAACACAGGCCGCGATCCGATTCCAGTATTTGTTTCTGGAACCCCAGTCTATTGTCGTCGGGTTTCTCTGGCTCAGGTTGCACGAATTATATTGTTTAGAAAGTTCCTAAGGGATTTGATTCAACAGGTCAGCAACCATGCGTTCCCACACAGCCCCCCGTGTGTTGCTTCTCGCGCTCTGCCTCTCCTCCTTCACCGCCGCGATCTCCGCGCAATGGATCAAAGGCTTCGTTGCGTCGTACTACGCGCTCCAGAACCGCCCCAACGGCGCGTGTGGGTACCCCCAATTACACCACAACACGGCATCGATGTCCACCGTAGGCTACGCTAACGGCAGTAACTGCGGCGCGTGTTTCCAGATGCGGTGCACCGGCCACCCGTCGTGCAAGCCGGGGATCATGACAGTGCCCGTTACTGTCACGAATATCTGCCCGCCGAATGCGCCCGGCGGGTACTGCGCGAAGAATAAGCGGAGCATCACACTGCCCAATCCCGTGTGGAATCAGATGTCGAAGGATCCCTCCGCCGGCGTTGTTCCCGTGGAGATTAAGCGCGTCAGGTGCCGGCGCGTGGGTGGCGTCGCATTCAATATCACTGGGAAGGAGTACTACGTCACCGGTGAGAGTGAATGGTGTTCTTGTATCGGGCGCCGCGTCACCGTTTTGAGGCCCTTGTGGAGAGTGCGTTATATTCAGCAATGCGATTTCCCGAAATCATAATGTCTTGTTTCATACCCATCACATTCCGGGTGGAGCACCATCCATTGCGTTCGCCAACCATCAGCATGATTCCGGCATTATCGTTACCGTGCCTTCTCTCTCTTGTCCCCCAGCCTTGCCTCTCAACGTGGCCGGAGCTGGCGCCTTAAAGCGCGTTGACATCTCGATCGCGCGCGGCCCGTGGATGGCTATGCGCAAGAGCTACGGCGCTGTGTGGGACCTGCCGGGCCTGCCCGTGGTCGGCATGTCGCTCTCCTTCCGCCTCTGGCCCGCCCTCGGGACTCTCCCGCTCGAGGCGTGGGATGCTGTTCCCGCGAATTGGGTTAACAATACGATTTATCGCACGGCGGTAAACTTCCCGTGAGTCAGACGAATGGTTGGCTGGTTGGAGCGGTGACGGTCTAGGGCACTGCTTTCTGGTGATTATGCTTGCTGGCGCGATACCTTGCCGAGTTTGTCGTGTAGGGAAAATAAGCATAGGATACAGGGGTTTGGGTAGGGGCGATGGATTCGGAGTCACTGGGCTTATCATCGTGATAGGTCGAGAGAATGCACGTGGTGCGTCTCGTGCACGTGATGTAGGGTACTCAATTGTAAAGTCAGAATGCATCCATCTGAGCTCATGCTCTCTGCAGTTGTCTTTCACTTGGGTTTGAACTGCTGCTTGAGTCATCCACCATGAGCATGACATATGATGCAAAAAGTAGAACATTTTCATGTGACATAACAGTTCCAGCGCAAACCTCAAGAGTGGCACAGAAAACTTTGGACACCACATTTTTATGGGAAAGGCGAGGTGGTGGCAGGTGGTGGAGACTGAAGTCCTGTTATGAAAAGATGTAGGGATGTCTAGGTGTCAGTAACTGTCGCAACAAATCTACACATTGTACCGAAGCAGAACTGTCGCAACAAATCGAATTCGTGAGTGTTTGAACGAGTGGAGCTTCGCGAATTGTTGTGTAACTGCTACTTCTCGTTAGCTCACCCACCAGATGATGACCTAGGCTGACAGCTGCGAAAAGCTTCGCCGACAAACACAGTTCTGAACGAGCGCCGCGCTGTTTCGCAATCACCTGACGCAGGGCAAACGGGCTCTTGTTCGTTTCGCCGCTACCTGGGCCACCGCGGACTGGAATACATGCAAAGCACGTCCGCCCTGAATTCGAACACAACACTCAATCGAACCAGACCACAGTCCACACAACCTTATCGTTGTATCCGCATTTCTCTCATCCCGACGAAGTCCTTGGCACAGACACATCCCCTCAACGTTTTTTTCCCCCACACTTTCATTAGTGCTGTACGCTGATCTTTCGGAATGCAGAAATCTCGTGCGACGGTGCGTTTCATTTCTCACACGGCTAGGGTTAGACGCGATAATCACCTCTCGCTTCCCAAGAAGAGAGCAATCGCGAAGTTCTGTTCACGTCGCCTGGCATTAATTCCGACGGGAGGTCATGTTTCATCGCGATACTTACGCACGCAACATCGCAGGCCCTTGTATTTCCACGGGAAATGGCGGCGCTGCCCGTCCTCGTGGCGCTTCTCTCTCTCGTCTCTCTGTCCCAATCAGGTACGCGTCTCCACGCGCCCCCGCCGAAATCGCCGTCGTAAGCCCGTTGCCACGAGGGTTCACAGATTCGCAACCTTCCCCATTGCATTCTCCTATTTCCGAGTCCCTCGCAATGCCCCTCCATTTCCCGGGTTGTCTTTGAGAATTCTCAACCCTCTCCGGGATCATCAGCTGAGAAAAAAAAAGCCTCCTTCTCCTCCTGTGCTGCTACGTGTTCCCCGCCGCACGTGCCGCCGCTTTTCCCGCTCCGCGCAGCGCCGTGCCTCCTCCCCCAAGTGACGATCAACGTAACGCGCGAGTCCCACCTCTACCTTCGAAAGAACTACCCCGCCAATCAGGTGAGCCGCTCAAGTGACCCGCCAATCAGGTGAGCCGCTCGGGAGCCTCCTCTCTCCACCGGCACGAATACCTCTTCACCCCATTCGCACCCTTCTCCTCGCTTCCCCCTTCCATTCCCTTTAAATCGAATTTCGTCGACGCCTCTCAGCGCCTTTCCTCCGCCGCGCATTTCCGCGTCTTTCTCCCGTCTTCCATGTCTTCCCCGCCACCACCACGATGGGCAAGCATACAGCACGGAAACATCTTGAACCGCTCCCCCCTGGTTCCCCTTGTCCTGCCCCCGCCAGTACGTGACGATGGTGCTGCAAGCGAGCATACAGCTGACAGACACGTTTGTGATGGACGCGAAATTCAGCTGCACTGTCTTCCGCTCCGACAAGGACAGAGCCTTCGACCTCATCTCGCCCTCTGTAAAGTGCGTCCCCACCGCTCTCGACCATTCTCCACCCCTTTTTAAGCCTCCGACCCAGCTTTGAGTGTTCAGCTGCACTGTCTTCCGCTCAGACAAGGACCGCGCCTTTGACCTCATCTCGCCCTCCGTCAAGTATGGCTCGCCTCTCTCCACCCATCTCCAACTCTTTCCACCGCTCTCCAACGCACTTCTCCAACACCCTCTCCGCTCTCTCATACCCATGTGACGTGTTTGCTTCCCTTCGTTCGTCCCGTCTGAATGAGTTCCCCATTTCCCTCGATCCCATTCCCTAGATCCCATTCCCTCGATCCCATTCCCCCGATCCCATTCCCTCGATCCCATTCCCTCGATCCCTTTCCCTCAATCCCATTCCCTCGATCCCATTCCCTTGATCACATTCCCTCAATCCCATTCCCTCGATCCCATTCCCTCGATCCCATTCCCTCGATCCCATTCCCTCGGCCTCTCCACCCCCCACAGCGCCATGGTAACAAAGATCGTCAACACCAACAACGTGTTGGTCATCAGGGTGAATTTCAAGATAAAATCCACCGCACTCCACCCCTCCCCTCCACCCTCCCACAGCGCCATGGTAACAAAGATCGTCAACACCAACAACGTGTTGGTCATCGGGGTGAATTTTAAGATGCCCGTTTCGACTGTCGGGCAGCGGGACTGCAACTACATTGAGACACGCTTTATTGACTTCATTGGCAAATACGCTTGCCCTGCTGTGTGGCTGTACCGAGTATGGGGTGTACAAGTGGTGCAGGTACGCTCAGTCCCTCTCACACCCATCCTACCACCCTTCATTCCATCGGCTCTGCTCTGTACTGTAACAGCCGAAGCCAAAAGGGAGTTGCTGTTAATGTCCCTCCTCCTCCTCCTCCTCCTCCTCCTCCTCCTCCTCCTCCTCCCTCCTCCTCCTCCTCCTCCTCCTCCTCCTCCTCCTCCTCCTCCTCCTCTCTCCTCTCTCCTCTCTCCTCTGCAGGGCAACGTGTACGGGCGGGTGGAGGTGGCGAGAGCTAATCGCTCACGGGTCGACTCAATGGATGTGCTCGTGAAGGCCACCAACCAGCCCGGAGCCATTGTGGTGATGCTCTCGGGGGACGGGCCTAACCTCATCCGCAGCGAAGTGGTTATTTCCAACAATAACATTCGGACAGAGGGCAGCTTGGGGCAGGGCGCCGCGTGAGTCGCTTTTGATACACCTTTTTGTCTTTTTGTTTTGTGTGCGTGCGTGTCTATTGGAATAAGCCACTGTCTTTAGGCTTCCAGGTGCAGCAGCAATGCGTGCAATCACTCTTGAGGATTCTCGCTTCTGAGTCATCTCTTCGGATTTAGTAGGTGTAGTGTAGGCTTACAACCAGCAGCAGTGTCATCTTCCTTTTCTTCGCTTACAGATCTTTTTTTAAAGCTCATTTCTTCGCCTCGCTTCTCTCAATCCCTGCTGCCCCTTGCCCTCCCTGCTGCCTTCTGTCTTCCCTACCACCCACCCCATTCACTGCAGTGTGGGAATCATGCTATACCGAGGGGCAGTGGGAGTGAACGTGGCAGGCAACCGGCTGTCGCACCTCACCGTCGCAAGCCTTCATTCCCCCCTCTCTCCTGCTTCCCGTTTCGATCGCAGTGTGGGAATCATGCTGTACCGAGGGGCAGTGGGAGTGAACGTGGTGGGAAACCGTCTATCACACTTCACCCTTGCAAGCCTGCAACTGGGATGGGGGCAGATGAACGTGGGCGATGCAATGCTCACCCTCGTTGCCCACAACAACATTATTCATAGCTTTGGGCAGCTGGGGGATTGTTCAGGTATTTACCTCAGCACGCACTGGGTGAACCCTGGAAATATCCACCGGTGCAACTACGTTCAAGGGGGTGGGCACTGCCTGTATTTCGACTGGGTGTCATCGGGAGTGATCGTGGATGGGCTCGTGTGCGTGCAAACTGCAGATGGGCTGAAGCTAAACACTGGGAAGAAGTGAGTACAAGGACACGCCCTTCAACTTGTAGAATTCTCCTGAATTCTCCTCTAAAGCCTTCAACTTGTAGAATTTTCCTGAATTCTCCTCTAAGGCCTTCAACTTGTAGAATTCTCCTGAATTCTCCTCTAAGGCCTTCTACTTGTAGAATTCTCCGGAATTCTCCTCTTGTAGTGATTGTTGATGGGCATGTGTGTGAGAAAGCTGCGGATGGACTGCTTCTGAGGCACCTCAAAAGATCGACACGGGAGAGAAGCGAGTGGAAGGGCACTCTGTCTCTTGCTCTTACAACGCTCCACTCTCTCCACCTCATTCCATCCATTCCATCCCATTCCACCTCATTCCATCCCATTCCATCTCATTCCATCCATTCCACCCCTGTTCTCCACCCCTCCTGCATTGTTTCAGTAACGAGATTCGGGGAATGGTGGTTATAGACAGCAAGCAGCCGCTAGCAGGGTACATCTCGTGCCAAAACTACGGAGTGAACAACTGTGATAAGCTGAACGGTATCAGGTGGAACAACGACCTGCTCACTTATTACCAGACGCCAGGGATCAAGAAGGTGAGCCGCTCTTCTCTGGTCGTTTGTAGTTTCTGTGCCTTGCAACTAGCATTGGTCGTTTGTAGTTTCTGTGCCTTGCAACTAGCATTGGTCGTTTGTAGTTTCTGTGCCTTGCAACTAGCATTGGTCGTTTGTAGTTTCTGTGCCTTGCAACTAGCATTGGTCGTTTGTAGTTTCTGTGCCTTGCAACTAGCAAGCATCGCCTCCCAATTTCCATCTTCCCTCCTTCCAGCCCACCCCCTCTCTCGGTCCGCTTTCCCTATTCCTTGCCAATCTAATGCAACAGCTTCTCTTCTTCTTCTTCTTCTTCTTCTTCTTCTTCTTCTTCTTCTTCTTCTTCTTCTTCTTCTTCTTCTTCTTCTTCTTCTTCTTCTTCTTCTTCTTCTTCTTCTTCTTCTTCTTCTTCTTCTTCTTCTTCTTCTTCTTCTTCTTCTTCTTCTTCTTCTTCTTCTTCTTCTTCTTCTTCTTCTTCTTCTTCTTCCCTCCTTCACCCCCGCACCCCTCCCCCCCCCTCTCCCCACCTCCATTACCCCTCTCCACCAGCTCTTCCCCTTCCTCACCAACTTCTGCAACAAAACATCCATTCACGGAATCAACTGCAACCAAGGCACATCAGCCACTCCCGGACCTTCCGCCACGGGCAGATGTTCCGGGTTGCCCACCGAAAACATCGCTGAGATTGTCACGGCCACCACCAATAATTCCACAAGGCTGGTTATCCACCACTCCAACTGCGCTTCTTTTGCCGCCATCCCGAAATTAAACAAGCTGACCTACCTGCCCGTGAAACTCAGCGACGCTGGGTTCAGAAGCGTGGAGAACCGCGACTTTGGCCTCCTTTACAATTCGCAGATTCGGAAAAAACTTCCGACTTTTCGGAGCTGCCCGGTGAAGGACATTGACCCAAAAAGTGTGCCCCACGCACAGTACTATATCCTTTTTAATCGGGATATTCCGTCGTTGAGGCCCATTTCCGCAAGGCCTGCATCCGTAGGAAAACCCGGGAGCGTATCGAATGTTTATGGTGGAGGGCAAGTGTCTCGCAATGTGACTCTACAGCCAAATCCGTACGCTACAAGCAAGTGGAGCCCACAACTGGAGCGAGAGCTGCGGCCTGGATTCATGATGACGATGCGCGAGTGGATGAGGTTCAATGCACGGCACCCTGTCCGCCAATCAGCCCCCCGACAGAAGGCATGAGCATGTTTTTCCGGCATGGATGGACCACCAGCATAAACACTCCACACGCTTGCTTGATGCCTTGCTCTTTCCTTGTTTGTACATATTTTCTGTTTATATTTATTCCAGGCGATTCTCCTGAGTTGATACCCACTTGCTGTAATTGTTTAGCTTTGCCACCCACTCTGAACTGCCACTCTCCTGTATGAACAATTACACATGTTTAAGTGGCCCACCCACCGTGAACGCGCTTGTAATGGTGCAAAAGCGGGGCAATCTCATGTGCAATCCCCTGGAGCTGAATGCAAACTTTCAGTGCTGCTGCAGAAGTGACGCATTGGAATACCATAGCTCGGAAAAAAGAATGTGGCAGAATGTGATGGGTAGCGGACATAGAAAGGGGGTATTGATTGGTATACAGCAAATTAGGTATCATCATTTTATGTTGACGAGCCTTGTCTGAGAGTGTACACATTTTAGCTGGAGGATGGCAACGAATCGAGTTCGTCAGCAGAGCAGTCGAGAGTTCCACAACTGAGTGGCGCAGCGCCAGAAGCAAGTTCTCCGCCAAGGGCGGGATGTGGTCCTACAACCTACATTTTTCCCCGCATTCTTTGGCCTTCTGGTTGCGCCATTCCCCGCATTCCATCCTATAAGGAATTTTCTCGGCATTCCTTACGGAGCCGACTACATCGCGTACAGCAACAGCCGATTGTTCGCCCGTTACTGCTAACGGAACTTCGCCGACTTCGCGCGCACTGTTTTGCCAAACCTCGCACTGCTGGCATGGCCGTATCGGCCTACGCTTCGGGACTAGCCCGAGCCTCGCTCCAGCGTAGCACTAGCAAGCTCGCACGCACCGCGTTACCGTTTTGCATGTTTCGCGTATAAATGTTCGCTCATGCCTTCGCTCACATTTTGTACTCGTTTGACACCTTAATCGCTACCTCGATTCATTGCACCCGTAACACTTGGTATCAGAGCCCCTTTCTTTCGGACCGCACATCTCCGCACACCAGGAAATCAACTTTTGATTTTTCACTCGAAGGGACTCACGCACCTTAGCCCCTAGGAGCCGCTGTCCTCGCGTTCTCTCGTAAACGCGTGCAGCCACGACTGCGCCTAGACTAAGACGAGCCGACGCCCTTCATCATGGCTGAAAACATCGACGTTGTTGGAAACAATAAGTCCTAAGTGCGCTTCTGTCGTATCAAAACCCAAGGCACCAAGCGAAGCAGTCCCAATCGAAGCATCGAGTCAACCTCGGAGGTTAGGGTAACCGCCTGGAGGTTACGAGAAAGTCAAAGGTCGCTGACCTTTGACTCGACAATTACAGCGCGACAGTTAAGGACACACAACTGACTCGTTACAGAGCAGTTGCCCGAGTCGCACTGTATTGAACCGCAACAGCAATACAGTTATCTACATATCTATTCGTATTCCCTGTACTCTAATATAAATCCTTGTATTTGCTTGTTTAATTCAATCAACTTTGCTCTCACACACCAGTGCAAGGTCGGTTCAAATTCTTCACTAAACGCTTCCGCTATTACAACTACTTCACCTAGAGTTATCCCTTGCAAAGATCCTAAGGGGCTATCTCAGCCCAACATGGTATGAGAGCAGACAAGGGAAACTCTACTCCTTTTTTTTTTCAAGATCATTACAAGACATGGCAACAAACAAGGAAAGGAGCTCCCCTAATGGCTCCTCGGGCACTACTCCTACTCCACCGCCAGCCTCTGGCCTGCAGACAGAAGAAGGCACGGCAACAAGACCAAGAGGAACGTCAACCGAGACCCCCATGAACCACCCTTCGGACTTTGACCAGAACATGATGGAGAAATTTTTCTCCTTCATGTCCTTCTACGAACAACACCAGCAGTCGGGACCTGCACAAACACACAACAGCAACAACGGAGCGACACCCATGAGTCTTGATGGGTCGTCATATGCGCGAGGAAACCAGCAGCAGCAACCTACCTTTGCTCCGTACGAGCGCGGGTCAATCAGCTTCGTGCCCCACCCGCAACCTTCACCTGGACAAGAAAGACCACTGGACGCACTTCAAGTTCAGTCGCAGTTTGCACACGTCTTAAAACTGCAAACGTCAAGACCCTTCGACGGCAAAGACTTCTTTACCTGGTCCTTTGAATTCGAGCTGATGATGGAGGGCGCGCAGATACTCGGCTTCTTCGACGGGTCCCTGCAGTATCCAGCCAACGGGACACAATATGAAAAGCAGCAGTATACGTATCAATCAATGATGGCGTATACAATCCTATTGAGGAACGTGACACCAACTCAGCAGCAGAACATTCGCTCTTACCGGACCTTCGGCAACTCGGCGGAGCTCGCGTACAGCCATCTGAAGAACCTGTATCAAGCAACAGACAGTGTAAACCAGAGCAGGTTAATGGCGCAGTTGACGACAGTCGAAATGAAACCAGGAGAAAAAGGACTAGCGTATATCAGCCGATGTCGCGAACTGCGCGACAAGCTGCTTCGATGCGGAGGGTCAATCTCTGAAGACGCCTTCGTGACAATCATCATTGGTGGGCTTGGTCCTCAGTGGCGCGCCACCAAAGCCATTCTTCGAGCCCACGGAAGAATCTCTGAAGCTGCACTCTGCGCCGAAATACATGCCGAGCAGCAAGATATGGACCTGCAGGAAGAACGACACAGGAAGAAAACGACAGTATCAGAGTTCGCATTCCACACTCAACGACGACACAGCAATTATAACAACCGACAGCAGCAACCGAAGATAGTACCTCCTTTCTGCCACATCTGCAAGACTTCAGGGCACCCGCGCACACACTGCCCGAATCGTCAGCAATCAACGGCACCACAGCGACAACTTCAACCTTCAAGCTCCCAAATGGCTTCAACACAAGCAAGTGCGACGACCACTATTCAAGCTTCAACGACTTCACCCGGACAACCTGCACGAGGAGCAAGAAATATAATCAACTGCATGACGAAGATAACCGATTCGTGTACAACCGAATCACCACCACACTACTCACCGGAAGAAGAGCTTGACAACAGAACGCCTCGCCGTGAGCTACTCCAGCCGAATCCAACGTACGCCGCCATCGCTCAAAGTGAACCGTCCGGCCAAGACACCTGGTTCTTGGACAGTTGCTGCGGGCAACACATGTGCTCGTCCGGGCGTTTCGTACAACGCGAACATCGACTCCAACGGGAAGTAATCATCACGGTTGCCAACAACCAAAACCTGCGCACACGAAGACAAGGAGTGGTACAGCTTCAGTCAAGAGAAACAAATGTCATACTGCACATGTCTAAGGTACTCATTGCTGAAGGACTCGGCTACAACTTACTGAGCGTTAGCCAGTTGATGGCGAAAGGAATTCATCTGGAAGCCGACAGCACGACCCAGGAGTTCAAGCTTTACCACGGGAGAGGCGGTCTCTACATCGGAAAAGCAGTGCTGAAGAACAACGTCTTCGTCCTCGACTTCGTTCCTGACCTCGGCACTGCAGACAGCGACGCCATCGTGAATTTCACTGACTGGACACACCCTCCGGATCTCGACCCCGACTTCAGCCCGGGAGGCTTCTGGTACTCGCACACCATTCCTGAAGCAGAACGAACACGAGCATTAGCAACAATTCGACAATCGGCAGCAGCAGCAACAACATCGGCAGCAGTAACAACATCGGCATCAGCAGCAACAACATCGGTAGCAGTAACAACATCGGCAGCAGCAACAACATCAGCAGCAGCAGAAACAACGACACCAGTCACAGTCGACGAAGCACCACCAACACCCGCGCAACAGCTGAATCCGACTCAACGTGAAGTCCACCGAAGCGCCAACCTCGTCGCCAGCTTTTACTCCAACTCCGACGCATATCAGCGTTCACCTGGACACCGCGCCTCTGAAGAGATCTGGCACGCACGAACAGGACATCCAAGCAACACGGTTTTGAATAACACGATAAGAGCAGGAGTCCTTGACAAAGATTCTCTACTTCTACCCGATGGCAGAGAACTCCAGAAGGCACGAGGGACTTGCCTTATATGTCCCGAAGCTGACTTACCTCATCGACCGTTTGCTTCACATCACAACCCGAGCGCTCCAGCGTACGCACCACTCGAAAAAGTCTACAGCGACATCCTCTACAATCGCGAACCAGGACAAGTCAACTACAACTACACCATCACCTTCATCGACGCCGCCACTCGATACGTCTGGCATCGCAACCTACCCAGCCGCGACATGGCGCTCGCAGCATTCGCCGCCTGGCTACCGATAGCAGAGAGAGAGTCTGGAACACAACTGAAAAATTTCCAGTCAGACGGAGGTGGCGAGTACACCTCTCACCGCTTCAAGCAGTTCTTGGCGGAAAGGGGGATCAAGCAACTCCTCTCCCTTCCCTACGCACATCAGCAGCAAGGTGTTGCAGAACGACTGAACAGGACCCTGCAGAACAGCATGCGCAAACTGTTACGTGGCATGCGG